GAAGTCTCATCAAAATGTTTGGTGTTTCATGTTTCAAACGATATTTGTTATGCAAATCACTTTTCTTTTCCTCTTCGAAAATGATTTCGTAAATACCATTTTATCATGCCATGACCCGTACTAACATTCCTTTTGTATTTTCTGAGATTTTCTCGCACAAAGCAATTGCATCGAAATATAATATATTATTTGAATTCGGATCGCATTCCATGTGAATTTTGCACATATATAATATACAATGGAAGAATGTATTTTTGTCATAAAATGAGATCGCTTAAATGAATGTCTGGACAAGAAAAAATTTAAACTTCCTTTCATTCTTTTCACTGAAAACATATATTTCTTTAAATGTTTTAATTCTTCCCTCTGCATTTTGACAATTCAATGATGATTGAATATGGCCGTTATTTCCATATTAAAACTCTTTTTGCATAGAAAACCGTGCGAAAGTTTTCGGAAATTCATGTGAATTTCATGGAAATCGACATATTTTGATGTTTCGGAAAATGAGCTACATTTAATTGCATTTAATGTAAAAATAAATTGGTCCACGGCATGCACCATCTCGGGCTGATATAGGTATCTAAAAAAATTTGCTTGATTCTTTCCTCACAAAAAATTGATTCTTTCCTCACACGGTGAAAGAGCCGGTAAGTGTAAAATAAGTCACTTTTTAAAATCTACGGAGTCGATTTGCATGAAACAAATATTTGAGTCTTAAAACTTTTGCACTCTCCTGTACTGCATGCGAACTTTGTTGATTTTCTTATCTCATTTGCATCATATTTCTAACTACGTTTCACTGTAACCATTCAAGCATCGTAATGGCAGTAAATTCATCATACACAAAGATACCGAAAATAGATTATATATAAACGATGCTGGCGTCATCGTTAACGACAATTGTAATATATCGCGTCATTCGAACAATTTATGATTGCATATGTAAAGTCTGGCTCTAATAAAGCTTGAACTATAACTTATAGGCTATAAGTAATCAGCTGTCCAATTGGCACGTTTTGTGTGTATAAGAAGAACTAACTGTCTTCGAACAGAGATATCGACATCACAATTGCCAGAGAAGGCATCTTGAGTTTGATTAATGGGACGGGGGGAGCCATGACTAGCAAAAAAACGCTAACAAATCGAAAAAATTCTCATTTCGAAAAATCGAAAAAGTGAAAAGCAAAAAAAGTTGTCACTTTCTCCTCAAAAACTCCAGCAAATTTTTGAAAGATCAGAAGGGGGAGCAATTTTTTTTTTTCATTTTGCAGACTGGACAAAATTCTGGACGCGTATATGACAGGCGGAGAGGGGGCCCCACTCTGCCAACCTATGATTTCAAACGGTGGACATGCCATTCCAAAGGAATTCGAATGAAGATCTTCTGAATCGTCAGTAGACTTGAACTTGTATTCCAATCGGAAACATTTCTCGTTTTTAGTGGGGAGGCACCTCTTTTATATTCAACACATTCAAAGATGAATCGCGCCCAACACATTCCCTGTGTTTGGCTTTTATCAAATGGTCGTTGGTATCTATTAACGAGAAAGCTGAGTGGTTGAGTGAATATTTAATTTGGATCACGGCGAACTATAAATATATCGCGTGCCGTCTCTTGTCAACAAATCACAATTTATAAGCCACGTGCCAAACGATACCGAAGCCCATATGTGGCGCTATATCCAAACACAAATCTGATGCATTAATCTAACCATTTTAGGATGTCATCCACAATGACCTTTTCCGCTACTGTTTGCAATGACAATAACATTTTATATGCATTATTTACGGTATATTTGCTTCAACAGGTTGATGGGCATTATCTGATCAACACAAAGCGCATATAAATGAAGAGCGACGGTTGCACAAGTGCATTTCTGGAATACTTGAACTACAGTGACTTTTGTTTAAGCCGTGACTTTCATTTTTATAAGAAAAGTTCAATTTCCAAAGAATTTTAATCGTATGCAAATTTCGATTTTGTAATTTGCAAGCCAAGAAATTCTATTACCAAAGATTCGATTAAAAAATTGATCACTAAAATGGCTGTGGAAATCGATACAAAAATAGTGGACCAAGTATTGAATGAATCAGAACCAACAGAATCGGATGATTCCATTCCAAATTGGATCAATATTGATTTTTTGGAAAAACATTTGCAAAACTTTTTCGGCGATAAACCAATTGCGATTGTCAATTTTGATGTAAAACCAGCCACGGCCAAGGGCGAAAATTATGCAAGCTATCTTTATCGAGTCACTGTCAACTATTCTGATGAATTATCAACATGTTCTGCATCACGGAGAAATTCAGTAAGTAGATTTGCGAATGAAGTTTTTTCTTCCAATCCCAGTAAGTGACGGTTGCTTACTGCTCAAATGTTGGAGTTTTTTCAAAGTATACACACCAGCTGTCATGACATCAAAATTAATTTTGGTTACCTTTTTTCGGCTAATTCGTTATTTTTGCCTTTCTGAAAGTAAAAATATTTTTAAAAAATTCCCATCCTTGAGAGCTGTTATTGGCACCGGAGAAGTGCGGTGGTGTGTAAAGCACTTATTCCATATAAATTTTCCAATACAAAACCGATTTTTCCGCTTTCATCAAATCGCCTATTTTGACCTCAAACTAATTTTAATTTTCATTCGTCATTTACTAACTTTACTCCATCCAGGATTTCAAACTATCCACTCTGAATATCATCATAAAAACAGCTGTACCGGGTGATTTTGCATTTGAAGCAATGTCCGCCAATGACATTTATACCAAAGAAATTGAATTCTATAAAAAAATTGCGCCAAAAATCAATGAAGCCTTAGAAAAACTGAATGAATCCAATCAACTAATAGCTACGCCATACGGCGTTTGCATTGAAAATAATGCAATTTTATTTGAGGATTTATCGTCAAAAGGTTATCGCATCGCATCCGTTCATCGTGGACTCAATTTTGATGAGGGAAAAATTGTATTGAAAAAAGCTGCCATGATCCATGCAATTCATGCTATTTTACAACAAGATGATCCACACATTTTTGAACACTTTAAATATGGTAAGAAAAATATGTTCGCTTTTTTGGAAAACTCAATGGAGGGAGTAAAATTTAGAAAAAAATCTGTACAGTGTTTTCAAAACCGATCCATATCGAAGCACTACCGATAATTGTTAACGGTATCGATCGGAAATAAAACTCTGGCTATTGGTCGGGCTCGGGCGTGAGAAACTGACCCATTGAGCACACAGCCGTATGGAACAGTTAAACGTGAAGAAAGACGCTGAATATGCCTTTTTTACAGGTTTAATGAGCCGCCACACGAATGTGTTGGACACCTTTTACGTGACTCAATTGAATGTGATGATGGAAGTTGTAGCTACGTGGCCAAATAGTGCTTATTATATAGAGAAATTAGAGCGTCTCCGCTGTAATTTAATGGAAAAAGGTGCAAAAGCCTTCGATGCAGAACCAAATCAATTCAACACATTGATCCATGGTGATATGTAAGAAATTTTTTCGATTTGAATTTTGCTTCGCAAATAAAAGCTTCAGCGATGAATTTAAATTATCGGGTGTAGTGCAGTGATTATTAAAATATGTCTTACTTTCAGGTGGGTCAACAATCTCATGATGAAATATGCAAATGAAACTACATCTATTGAAAATATGATCTTTATCGATTTTCAATACTCATGTTGGACATCGCCAACAATTGACTTACACTATTTCTTCAATAATTCGCTGGAAGAATCACTTCGACCCAGTCGTTTTAAGGAGTTGATTGTATTTTATCACGGGCATTTGACGGACTTTCTCCAACGATTGAAATACAAAGAACAAGTACCGACCTTGCAAGAGTTCCACGCACAATATTTGGACAAAAGTTTTTATGGTGAGATTTTTTGTTTTTGACAGAGATTTTTATCATCTTCAGAACTATTTACAAATTCAGTGCCTAACGAAGTTTCTATCAATCAGGTTTCATTGCATCGTGTTTAATTCAACCGTTAATGATCAACGAAGAAACAGCTGAAGCTGATATCGAGGCCTTGATAGTGGGCGACGAACGATCCCTGAAATATAAGCGCCTCATTTATTCGTCGGAAAAAGTTCGAGCCAATTTACGCAAATTAATTCCCATTTATGATAGCATGGGCATTTTTGATTGAGATTTCTTTTTATTATTTTGCCATTTATTTGGATTTTGGAATTTAAATAAAGGAAAATATTATTGAGAATCGTTTAATAACCGGTTGGATTGATTTACCCAAATAGATTACCTTTGATTCAACTTATTATAGATGTAACCTTTTGGTGATCATTGAAATTGCTCAGAAGCTTGAAACATTTTCACAGTTTTTATCAATAATATTAAGCTATAAAGAAATGGTTGACACAAAGTTGCCAAAAGACTTTAAAAACAAAAAAATAATTTGAATGCAATTTTTAAATTCTAGGTTTATTTTATTTGCAATATTTTTCTTTATTCAAATTCAGTGGAATGGTTATTTGATGAATGTAATCTTTTTGTAATAAATTGTATTGAAGTTTAAAGTATAAATTTTTTAATAAGACTATAAACGATGGGAACTAGTATCGTATATTCCCCATACAAATCAATTTTATCGATTCTACGAATACGACATCTGTTAAAAAAGATACCGATTTTTGTTACTACTGTTGCTTTGACACAGCTCGAGCGAACTATACGGCTATGGCTGTAGTACAGACGAACTAATACAAAAGAACACACAGACTCCGATCCTGTGTATGCGTATGTATTGTAAATTTTGCACAAGCAGCTACGATTGACGACTGAGTGCAAAATTTGTAATACATACGCATACACAGAATCGGAGTCAGTGTGTTCCTTTGTACGTTTACACGAGCTGTATTAAAACACCACTAGTAACAGAAATCGGCGAGTTTTTTATTAGATGTCGTATTGGTGGAATCGATAAAGAAAAATCTACGATATTAGCGCTCATTGACTGTAAATGTAAGTCATTCATTGTTGTGTGTTTGGTGATTGAAATCTTTTGAGATTCACTTCTTCTGGTGATGAAAATTCTTCATGTGAAGATTAGCGCTGCATTGCAGAGAGAATCGGGCTTCGCATCATTTACATGCGAACAGTTTCTCACCAGTGTGATGATTTCGCATGTGGCCTCGTAGTTGAGTAGAAAGGTGAACTGTAACTTGGCAGATGTAACATTCGTAGTGGCGACGATTGCAATGTTCTTCGTGTGCATTCTTATCGCCTACGTTGGCAAATCGACGACAACATTTGATGCAACGAATTGGACGTGGTTTGGCATGAGTGGCCAAATGTGTCTTGAGATTACCATTCAAAGCAAACTTCCTGTCACACGATTTGCATTGAAATTGTTTTTCGCCTGTGTGCTTTGATTGCATGTGGTATTTCAAATTGCCTTTCATGAAACATTTGAACGGGCAGAGATAACATTCGTATCGTCGACGGTTGCATCGGTCCT